TTTGTTTTTGTGTTGTTACTCCCCTTGAAGGGCCTGTGAGATCCCAGGCTTTTTTATTTTTCTTATCACTTCAATTATTGTGTGACAGGCACTAGTTTCTGCAGCAGGAAAATTGGTGGCTCATCTGCTGGAAGGCAGGTATAGATAAACAAGGTGGAAATCTCCCCACAGGCAGACTTCGCATGCCAATTTAAAATTTGCTTCCCCTGTGGAGGGATTGGAGGGATGGGAGAGGAGGTTAGCACTGATATCCTTAGGAAGCTGTGAGTTTTTCACTTTGACACTTAAATGGCTTGAGTCTTGTTTTGGACATGCAGCTTTGGAGAAAGTTGCCCGGAGGCTTGGAGTACAACATATATGGGGGTGGGCAGTGGATTGTGTCGGGGAAAATCGGTGGTTGCAAGATTGTAGTTGGAGAATTTTTAATGCTGGACACTATCGTATATTTAAGCACAGATCTGAAATTAGCTTTCTACAAGACATGAGCTCTTTGCCTCCATTATGCAGAGAGGAAAATCTGGAACTTTAGGCAGACTAAGCTGAACCACTGTGCCAACTGAAGATATGTCTTTCCTTGTCCTCGTTCTCCTTCCTCCACCGTTGTATTGAAGCTCTTGAATTCTGCATCACAGCCCTGCAGGTATCAGGGGTTGTTTGAGTGAAATCATGCCTGACCTATCTAATCAACTTCTACAATGAGGTGATCAGCTGGGTGGATGAGGGGAGAGCAGTGGATGTTGTTTATCTTCTCCTAGTGAAGGTTTTGGATGCCATCTCCCATAATTCCTCACAGACAAGCTGAGGAATTGCAGACTGTGAGGTGGACTGACAGCTGGCTGAACTTCCAGGCTCATGCTGTGATCAGTGGCATGAAATCTAACTGGAGGCTAGCCACTAGTGATGTACACCAGGGGTTGATACTGGGGCTGATGCTGGTTATCATATTCAGTAGTGGTTTGAATGATGGGGCGGAGTGGGCACCACCATCAGGAAGCTTGCAGATGATATGAAGCTGGGCTGAGCTGATACACCAGAGAAGTGTCCTGCAATTCAGAGGGGCCTCGGCAGAATGGAGAAATGGGCAGGCAGAAAGCTCATGTAGCTCAACAGAGAAATACAACATCCTGCACCTTGGGAAGAGTAACCCCATAATAACATCCTGGGGGCGGGCTGACTGGAAAACAGATTGCAGAAAAGGTCATAGACAGCAGGCTGACCAAAGCCGGTGATGTGCCCTTGCAGTGAAGAAGGCTAACGGCATGCTGGGCTGCGTTAGAACTCTGCCAGCAGTTGGACTGTGGCCGTTCCCCTGTGCTGAGCACTAGTGAGACCACAGCTGGAGTGATGTGTCTAGTTCAAACTGAAACACGGGGGCTCTGTCTGAACATCAGGAAACACTTTTTACTGGGAGGATCACTGGGCACTGGCACAAGTTGCCCGGGAAGGTTGTGGAGTCTCCATCCCTGGAGATACTCAGAAGTAATCTGGACGTGGTCCTGGGCCGCAGGCTGTAGGTGGCCCTGCTTGAGTAGGGCAGACTGGGCAAGGTGACCTCCAGAGCTCTCTTCCAACCTCAGCCATTCTATGAATAAAGAGATTGAAGCCAGACTTTTCTGAATGGCACTTAGTGACGAGAGGTGATATGCAGCAAATGAAATGCAGGAGGTCCCACTTAAGCATTGGGAGAAAAAAAACAAACCCCAACAATTTTATATGGTGAGGCTAGGACAGGTTGCCTAGATAAATAGTGGAGTGTCTGTCCTTGGAGATACTCAAGAATCTGGCTAGACGTGGCCCTGAGCAACCTATTCCAGCTGACCCTGCTGGATGACTTCCAGAGGTCCCTTCCAACCTTGACTGTTTAGTGACAGAGTGCTTCAAGCCAGCTTCTGCAGAACTTGGGAGCTTGTCTGAACTTTACAATAATCAGACTCTGCTGGAGCAGCTTTACTAGGCTTTCTCAGCCCTTCCCTCTGTGAAGCAGGAGGGTGACTGGCAGATGTGGGGGAAAGCTGCAGGCAGGCCCAGCAAAGCACGGTATGCTTGCTGTGAGCTGGCCTTGGGCAGCCAGCTTTGGGGTGATCAAAGCAGATGCCAGAAGGCTTTCACTAGAGCCTGAGAGAAAGAAGTGGAGGGCAGATGGGGCCATACACTGGGACTGCTGTGGGTGCAGAGGTGGTTTTTCTGGTTTGCACTCCAGCAGTGCAGACTGTATATCTGAGAACCCTTCCGACTAGCCACGCGGAAATCGTCTGTGAGCTTGAGATTGCCAAAAATCCTTCTCCTTCCTGCCTGTGTTGCCTTGTCCTTCCCTCTGTCTGCTAGTGGTTATCACTTAAGCCAGATTGTTGGCTTTTGACATTTTCTGGCCCTCTAGTCCCTCATTAGCGCCTTTCCACTCTGCCACAGGATTCCTAGACATCAGTCATCCCCTCCTTCAGTCTGGCAGTTAGCTGATCCATTCTGCACAGTCTGGAGACGGGAACCACATTTTCCCCGCTTCCCACATGTCCTGACCCGCTCCCTAGCACCTCCTGGGAGAGTTTCAGAACCTCTTGTTGCATTTCCCTGCTTGCCTAGTGGCATGTTAGGATCCCACAGAGCCTGACGCCTTTCGCTTTAATGCGTCTGACCTCAGGGATCAATACTGCTGTTTTGGCCAAAGAAATAACTGTGCATAACGAGGTTTATAGCATCGATTCCCTAGGCTAGGGCTCTTTGTTTTCACAAGCCACCAAGCTTGTCCCTCCCTCCCAAATAACCTGGATTGACAAATAAAATGTAAAAAATCGATAGTCGTCTCCGTGCTTTTCTGGCCTGGGGGCATCCGTGTGACCTGAACACCCTCCCTTTCCTCCTCACCTCACCCTCTAGCAATCAGTGTGCTGCATCCCCAGGTTGCTGGGCTGGTTGGGGTCTGATGATGAATGTGTTGCTGCTGCATAGAGGGAATAGAAATAATTTCCTGCACAGGAGCATGATTTAAAAGCGGTGGGGATGGGCAGAGGGACTGTAGGTTGCTTTCGAGGTGCTGAAAAGTATGGGTGGGCAGAAAATGCTCCTCGTCAGCCCCCATCAATGGTTGTTGTTGGATATGCAAATGATTACCAATTGCTGGTTGATTTTTTTTTTAATGAGATCCCATTGCTAGTGAACACCTCCCTTGATTGCTGCTTGTTATCCCCTGATGAGGATCTCTGGGAATCTGCCCTGGACCAAGTGGTTTTTGCAGTTCTTACCATCTTTCTCCTGAGGTTGCCCCTGCCAGGCTGGGAAAGGGCACACTTGTGTTGCTGCTCATTTTAGAAACCTTCTGCTCCTTCCTGCATCACAGCTTCAGAGGAAGAGCAGCACAGCGTACAGGCTCATTGGGGTAGGGTACCTGTCCAGGGCAGCAGGGACCAAGGCAGATTGTGACTCTAGCCATTTCAGCTGAAAATAGCTTTCCTCTGTGCCAAATGTAGCCTTGCGGGGAAGTGAAGAATGGAAATTCTCGTTGATTCATGTTACACTTCCCCCAGTGAAGCTGGGAAACTCCTTCCAAAAAGGAGGGAGTGGGGAAAAGGCTTTCATAGTTCTTGGTCTTGATTACAGTTTGTTAAGTTTTAAGGCAATAATGGCTCTTCTTAATTAAAACCAAACTTGAGATGCCACCCTGGAGAGCCAGTCACACACACGTAAACTTCCCCTCTGTTTTCTTCTTTATGCTATGTAAGCTGCATATCTTCTGTTTCAGAAACACTCCCCAACCATTATCTTTAAACAAACTCTGGAAAAACACAAAAGCAAAGGTGCAGATATGCCTTTCGACATTATGTGCCAGTCTACTGGGCATCCAGCTGTACCCTAGAGCTTGTGTGTGCGCATCATCTTGATGAGCAGGGTGCATGGTCTCCTCTCAAAGTATGGGAAGGGGCCAGTTTTTCTCCGTGTCCCTTGCTAGAAAAGGAAGTGTGCCCACGGAGAATAATATGCGCTTATTGAAAGGCTGTTCAGTTTTAATTGGTACAAAGGATGCCAATGGGAAATGTGTTAGAATAGAAACCTTGCCTGGCAAGGAGGTTTTGTGAAAAGGACTTACTGGTCTCTCTGCTTCCTGGGACAATTATTTCACTGACAATAAAAGGGTAATGGACTTGGCGTAAGCAACACTTAGTCTTGCTGTTGAAGAGCTGCTCACCTTAAGGGACAGCTCCAAAATACGCTCAACTTTATAGGGTGATCTTTCTGACCTCTAGAAGCATGTGTCTGAGGAACAAACCTCTAGTTTCTTGTGCTGTTGTTTGTGTTGGTTTCCTTTTACCTCACGCTTCAGTGGCATCTTTGACACTCGGGTCTCTGAAGTTTCAAATGTGGTTGGTATTTGCTCCCTTGCTAGGGTATTCAAGAAAGCTGTGGTACAGTGATCAGAACAGGTAAGCGAGGATGAGGATGTCTGGATCATCTTCTCAGCTCTGCCACCAGCTGCAGGGTCTTAGTTGAGTCATTTGGTATCTGTTTTGTTCTGCAGCGTGATCATCTTTATGCTCTTTTTTTTTCTGTTGTAGGTTTTCCAGCAAGTGGATTTCAACAAGAAGCCAGGACGTATGAGTGCTAAGCCTATAAACTTCGCAGTCATCTTGAAGCTTTCCAGTGCCAACCTGCAGGAGAAGGCCTTCCGAGTAAGTGGAACTCAGCGGCCAAGCGTGCGCAGCTTCTCTGTAGACAACAGAGTTGCCCTAGCAGTATGGTTTGTGTTCCTGTCCCGTAAGGCTGGAGACTCGTTTCCCAATCTGGGCGCTGTAGGGTTTAGTTCCTACCTGATATCTCGATTTCCGCTTCCCCTACCCAGGATGGACTCATTGAGCAGCTCTATGACCTGATGCTGGAGTATCTCCATTGCCAAGCCTGCAGCATTGGATTCCCAGAGTTGGTTCTCCCCACTGTCATTCAGGTAAGGTGTAAAACACTTCTCAGTCACGCCATGAATGTGCATAGAGTGGGATAAAGTTGTTTAAGCTAATAGGGAACTCAAGATGGTCCTCACAGTGTGAGGGGAGAGCCATTTATCTTTTCTTAATATAGTTTTTCTTTGCATTTTGGGGAATTCTTGGGGAGGAACAAGGGCATTATGTCTAAGTAGGAGGCTGAAGGTAGGGGAAAGCATCTGTGGAGGTAGCCACTGTTTCGGGAGCCAAAGTGGAACAGAGGGCTGCATAACTGCGGTGGAGATGCGGTTTTGACTAGCGAATGCGGATGAGTTCTTGGCAATTCAGAGCTGTCCGAATTGCTGGGCTGTCTCAGAGCAGTACCTTGTGCTCTGTGAGCCCATACTTTTCCTTGCCTCGCGGCCTCCCTCGCGTCCTCTCCACGAGATGGCAATCTTCCCTCCTTTCAGTATCTCTGTCAGCTGGGGCACTTTCTCCCCAAATCCCTCTGTACAAAACAGTACGATGCCTGCCTCCATCCCTCCTGCTTGCTGCACCCAACAGCGGTGCTGCTCCTTTGCCTCTCCCCTGGCATTCTGTGGTGCAGCGTGTTCTTCGTAGCCCCCCTTCAAGTTTACTTAAAACTGCCCAATAATGACATGTGTGCATCGGGGTGTGTTGGGCATAATCCTTCGCTAGTACCTTGCTAGCTGGGTGGCTTCAGTGTTGAATGAGCAGTGGCCTCTCTGCTTTGAGCAGTAAGATTGCTCAGTGCAAACGTGTTGGAACTTGTTCCCTCCCTTCTACCCAGTCCTCTCTATTTTTAACTCATGAGTGGCAGGTGTCACACAAGTTTGGCAGAGGGCTGCTGACGTATCCTCCATGGGGACATAAACCTCTGCTTTGCATTGGTGTCTGCCGCGAGACCCTCTGTCTGCGTACCTTGTTGCTACGATGCCTCTGGCTGACGTGGGAGCAATGTCTCGGTTGGGACCCACCGGCTGCTTGGGTGGCAAATCTCCTTGTTTCTGCTGTGTGTAGTAGGCTGGCATCTGTCAGGCGCGCGGCTCTTGGCTGGGTCCCTGCAGCCTGGCACAGGCCGCTGCCTGGCTGGCAGTAGGCTGCTTTGGCTAATGTGAGCTGACAGGCACTCTCTGTGCTAGGAGAGCAGCTCCTGTGCTTGCTCTCGCTTTGCGTGCTTCTCGCTTATCGGCGGCGAACAAAGCCCTTCCCTCTCAGCCAGCAGCTGTTGAGAGCATCGAAGCTGTCGGAGCCGATGTTCTAGCTGGAATGAAAAACGGCTGACGGCCCTCTGGCACCAAGCGCCCTGTGGCTTCCAAACACACCCCGGGACCAGCCTGTATTTCTGCAGAGAATTAACGCGATTGGATTCCTGTTTGGCTGCCACTCACCACAGCCTCGTGGCGTCTGCTGGGCTGGGGTGCTGAGGTTAGCTTCCCAAAATCTCAGAGTCTTCGGGAAAGTGTGTGGGGTGAGGCTTTTCTCCTGGAACGGTTCCAGTTAACTGTAAAAATCCATCTGTCCTGATTCTTCCTCCCCGATGAGCTCACGCTTCTCTCAGTGCCGTGTCGTAGGGGCTGTGTTCCAGCTGGCGAGGGTTGCGTTCCTCGTCTTCTGGTCAGCGGCTTTGGGAGAAGCTGGGCTGAACTGCCTTCAAACTGAACTTTTAAAACCTCCCTGCCTGGAAGGCAGGAAGCACCCGGGCAGATCAAAGGCAAGGAGAGCCAGCAGAGGCGGGCGACAGTTCAAAGGCCTCATTTCTGCCCAGCTGCTGGGATGACCCCGAGGTGGTCACTGCCTCTGCAAGCTGATGAGGAGCTCCGAGTGCAGAGCCTGTGGGTCTGGGTGGTTGGAAGAGACTGCCTCTTCCCTCCTCTAGAGCCCTGACGAGCATCACGGAGCAGAGGTGGGAGATTAAACGGAAAAACTGGGCAGGTGTCGATAAGGGGTAGGTACTGCTGGGTGGAGGCAGGAGATGGCGTGTTCTAGGTGTGACTTGCGGCTAGACAGAAGGGCAGGAGGTGCCGGGGTGCCTTGCCAGCAGCCGCCCCTGCTGCTGCTTGCTCTCTGTCCCGAGTTGAATACTCCCTCCGCTTTTTGGGATTGTGCTTGTTTTGGGTTCCCTGGAACACACACACTCAGCTGCTTCAGATCATTTGTAGTTCCCTGCGTCGTTTACGGGAAGAGGAGCTGGGTTTGTGCTGTGGTCTCTGCTGGTATAAACCATTGGTGTTTAAGGCTGGCAGTTCGACAGAATCAATCCCACTAATCACAGAGCTGCTTAGCTAGGAACCAACGCGAGATGTTAGTAACACATACACACACATACACGCGCATGTATGTTCTGATTGCTTTTATTCTGGAAAGATATGGTGATTGTATGTAGTAGAGTGGAAAAAGCCATACATGGAGTCCCCTTCTCTCTCTGTCCTTTATCTTCTTTTACCTTCTTGGTTCCCTGCCTCTTAACACAGGACTGAGATCTCATTACGTTTCGTTAATATCTGTAGAAGATAGTAGTGGGACTGTGAGGGATTGCAGGGGTAGGAGAGAGGAGGGGGAAAGAAGAAATGAAGCATACGGCTGTGAGAACGAGCACACAACACCAAACTGCACAGATAGAGCCTGAGATTTTGCAGGATTTCTGGTGACACTTCTGCAGCGAAAGAAAAATGATAATGTATGTGCTAGCGGATGAAATGGATCTGGGGCTGCAGCTGTGGGATCAAGTGAGATAAATCGAATGACAAATGCATCTCTCAGTGGAGATAAATATGCAGCACCTATAAAAAAAAAAACAATTTTAGAAAAAGAGGGTGAGGGTAGAACAGGCTTCACCAGAAGAAGAATAGTTTGGTTGGTGGTTCCTTTGTACTTGTTTAATGGGCTGTTTGCTTTGTGGAAAGGGGGAAAGGGTCGTTTTAACTCTCATTTTTCCGAGTTGGATGTTACGCTAGGGGTAAAGGGACAAGAGAAGCCCTAGCTGCTAGGTAATGGGGGACATTGTCCATGTGTGTAGCAGACAGCAGAGCCTGCAGCAATATACCCATCAGGAGAGCAGTGTCCTGACAGAGAGGGGCTAGGTGTGACTGTCTCCTCTTGATTTACATTTGATACCTACCCACTTGGCATGCAAGATCAAGCTAACATGTAGGCTTGACGGGGGGAGACATCTTCCTCCTTCCCCCAGCTCTTTTGAGGCAGAATGTTTGAAGCCATAAGTAGAGAACTGACTAGAAACCTGTTATCTCTATCACGATAGCATCTGCAGGTCCCAGCTGAGATGAAGGTTCCATTGTGGTTAACCTTTTTCTTTTGCCTTGTTGGATCTCTTTCTCTAAATCAAGTGTCTGTGTAGTGTGTGTGTATATATATATATGGCCCTAGCAAAGAGCTTGGCCTGCAGAATTTGGACAGCACTCCAGAGGCTTGTCTTGGGGTTGGTGAAAACCATTAGCAGGCAGCGTAGTAAAGTGGAATTCAAGCCTTGAGTCCATCTGGATACCCCCATCTCCCTCTCTCTCTCGCTCGCTCGCTCTCTCTCTGTCATCAAGAGCATCCACTGCTGCCTTCTATTTTAGTTTGGAGATGTCAGAACAGTGCAGTGGTGTTGGAGGGTGGTTTGTATTGGGAGGGGAAGTCTGCTTTGGTGGGGAGAAAAGAGGTTTGCTTGAAGACAAGGCTACTGAGATAAAACAAGAAAACAACACCAAAATGTGCTCTGTTTGCAATGAATTCTCATTGTCTGAGAGTGATGAAGTGTGTTTTGGGTGCAGAGAGAGGGCAGGAGCAGATTCTCTGTGAGTAGGATGATCCTTGCCCTTTCAGGCAGCAGTAGGGTTTGTGGTTTCCTGGCAGACTGGCTCTTGTCCCGAGAGTTACACATAAGGCCTGGAGTCTAAAAGAAAGAATTATCAAGGCACATGCTGCACAAGTTGTCCACAGAGAGGGTTATTTTGCTGTGTGGTGGGTGTGTGGGTTTGCGCCCTTGAAAACTCACTGGTGCCAGCTGGAGTTGGGTTGGTACAGTGAGACATGAAGCAAACTTCACCCTGTGTGACTCTGCAGATGGCCGTCTGTCCTGACCCACAGCTCTGCTGCTTCGCAGCACCGAGTTTGCCCACCGAGCTATGCCAGAGACCCTTAGTCCCAGTCCACAGATGCTTCCACCCCAGTTTTAAGACTCTTCTCAAACTCTACCTTCACTCCCAGCCATCAGTCTCATCCGCACCCTCTTGTATTTGGTTTTCCCATTCCGATATCTGCTGGTGTTCTGCAGTCTTAACCCACAGACACCTTTCCCCATTCTGATCCTGGCTTCCCTGTGCTTTTGGCCATCTAGCATCCACAGGTATCCACCGTTACTCCTGGTCTCTGTGCCTCTGGTCCACAGTCCCTCTTACTATTTGGCTGAGCAGGAGACACTGATACTGTACCTACAGTGGCAGCTAGCAGCTGAGGCCCTAGAGAGCATAGATTTTTCTTTCTGCTGGCTGCTTGAACTCCGCTGATACATTTTTTTCAGAAAGAAGTAGTGTTAAAGGGTGCAAAGAGCTGTTTTTGAGCAAGGCCCCTGTGCTGGGTTGCATACAAATGTCTGGCCTGTCACTGCAACGCTTTGCATCCTCCCAGCGCGGGGTGGCGGGACCCCCCGGGGCTGCATGTGGGTGATACACTGGAGTGTGGTGTGAACTGAAGGGAAAAGGCGCCCCGTGCTGTCTGTCACTGGGGCTGGGAAATGGCTTTTTGCTGGTGGGATCCGTTTATGGAAACGATTACATTGCTTTCATTCTTCCTCTCCTTTTCCCCCTCCCAGCTAAAATCTTTCCTGAAGGAATGCAAGATTGCCAACTACTGCAAGCCTATCCAGCAGCTCCTGGAGAAACTGCAGGAAAATTCTGCCTACGTCGCCAGCAGGCGTCAGAAAGCCACCTTCGGCGTGGCCAACAGGGAGTCTGTGGTGAGTCTGCTACTTCGATTTGGGCTTCCTGGAAAGACAGTCAGACTCCGGCTGCTGGGTTGAGCGGAGGGAGGAGGGACGACGAGATCATGGAAATGGGAGCGCGTGGGGTGGGGCAGATGTTCACAAACAACTGAACTCGGCAGGGCTCTGATGCTATAGCTGGCAAGGCTCTGCAGCCAAGAGCCTCATGGAAAACACAGTCCGTAAAGTATACCCTGCTATTATTTATAACACACATAATGCATGGAAGCGTCTTGCTTTGCTGGGGCATCTCCGTTGCTGAGAAGTTTCTTGGTTTTCTTCCTCATCCCTTTCCTGATATGTAGGTGCCAGTTTGTGCCGAAAGTGATAGGGAGGATTCTGCCACGTCTGTAAGCGTGTTGCTTCCTCCTGGTCTGTAGAGACCTGTCTCCAGCAGTGTAGGACCAAGCCATCACTGGCAGTTCGGGATCCTGAGGCAAACCTTTCCCCGTTTTCCTGGGCCCTTGTGGAGGCAAAGCTACAGAATCAGGAAAGTTAAGAGCCTTAAGAACAGTGATCGGGCATTTCGGGCACTGCAGCTGCTGCTCAGAAGAGATGCTGGTATATTCTTCTGTCTGCAGCCTAAGCGTCCAGCCTGCTGAGAAATCCTGGGCACGTCCAACACCTCAAAAAGTTGCAGGGGCTGTGGGTGGCTCACAGGGCCTGTGGGGCAGTGGAGTTAAACCTCAGGATTCTGCCTTAGAGATGAGATGAAGTAGTGACTAAGGTGATGATGGAGAACTCCCTCTTATCTTAGGAAATGAACTGTAGCGCAGCTAGAAAATAATATATTAGAACATCTGGTTAACAGGCTGAGAGATGCTGCCTTTCTCCTTGTTTCCTCTGCTCCTGGAGTCTGCCTGCTCTGAGCCAGGTCCTTCTAGGGATGGTGTAGCATATTGTCAGGACGTTCCTGTCAGTGTCCTTGCTTGAAGGCTTTTCTTCTTTTGCTTTGCTCCATCCTTCTTTGGGGACTGGTTGACCTGACCTAAACTCTGAGGTATTTGAAATCCAGGCCCTATGTAAATGAAGCCAAAGGGAAGGAAGCCTTGTTAATGAAGCTTTGTTTGCCTGTTGTTTGGATTGGATGTTTTATTTTTGCTTTTTATCCAGCGCAGCAGCCTTTGCAAGCCTGATAGCAGGTGAGCGGGGTGTGTGTGTGCCTCTCTGTGTGAGAGGAAGTAACAGGTCTGACTCTTGCTTGCCTGGGAGGAGAGAGGTGAAAATATCTCTGTTTGCGAGGTAACTGGTGGGTCAGAGAGGTCTCTCCGTGGCCACCTGGTAACATTGGGAGGTCTGGAGTTCTGCGTCGTCGAAAGCTCCACCTGTTGGCGTGGAGCTGGGCACGGAGCAGAAGTTGCAGTGCAGACCAGTTTGTCTGCAGACACTCGGGGCAAGAGGACTGCAGGAAAATTATTGTTTGGAATCCTGGCATATCACACGGCAGCGCTATTCTGGGATTAGGGGGTTGATGGAACTGGGTTTGAAGTGGCTGAGTAGTGTTTGGTTCTGTAAATGCCGTTCTGGGTTGGACTGCTTTGCGAAGGGAATGATGCTTCCCGTCTGGAGCGGTTAGGGTTTTGTTGGTCTGTATTTTTTGCGGGCAGTGCTGTGACCACCCACCCACTCTGCAGAGATAGAGATTGGAGCCTCTGGGGCTCTCCGTGAAACAGATGGGCTGGGGAAGGTCGTTGGCTAAATAAAGCAGGGTTTCCAACAACTCTGCCACTGTCTGCTTTTCCCAGCAGCTCTGGCTGCAGTCCCTTCTGTAAGAGCTAAACGATTATTTTACCATCTTTGCTGCCTGTATGTCTCCTCGCTGACACGGGTGCACCCGCTTTGCCAGGGACATCTGGGTGGCTGAGCAGCGTGAATCAGGCAGGGTTGGCTCTGGAGGGGCAGCAGCAGGCAGCGGGCCTTGACTAAGGGGGGGTGGTTAGGGGAAGGAGCCCCCACTTTGCCAAACCTTTTTGGAGACGACTGTTCTGCCGTTTCAGGGGACAGAGCAGCAGCGTGACGTGCTGCGCAGGGAGGGTGTCTGGATTGCCCGTGCAAGCTGTGGTCTTGCACTGTGGTGGTGGTGTCCTATGGGAGAAGGTAGCCTTTCTCGTGCTTTGGATGACTGGGACACCAGCGCTCCTGGGAGCAGACAGCCCGCTCGGTACTTCTGTGGGGTGCAAGAGCCAAAGAGGCTTATCTTTTGTACCCGGAGGGCAGGTTTTGTGCCCAGGTGGCCCTGTGTTTTCCCACTACTCCTTCGCAAGCAGATGTGTAGATCCCAAGAAGGGCCAAAGCTCCCACAGAAACTGGGCTTCCCAGAACAATTTGGTGTCGCTCAGAGTCTGGGTGGAGTTTGCCAGGCTGTCTCCAGGATATGTGGGGCGTTAACACTTCTCATGAGCAAACGCTTCCAGAAAAGGGAAGGGAAGGAGAGATGTGAGGGGAGGATTCGATTCATGTTCCCCTTGCCAGCAAGAGCAACTGAAAGCGAGTGCTCTCTGGTATTCGCACCCATGCATTTGTAGCTGCTCCACTGTAGGGAGCAGAGCCCAAATTGTGAGCTAATTCTTCCATGCAGCACGCTGAAATGCGGCTTTCATGGGGGGAATTACAGAGAAATAGGATTAAATGAGGGGAATAAAGGTTGTGAATGTGATTGGATCTGCACCTCTGAGTAGTGGGTGTGCTTTAGAGAGCTGGATTTTACCTAAGCATCTATATCATAGAATTTTAAAGAAGAAACAGCCTGGGGATTGAACTTCGTGCTGCAAGGGGGAGCATGGTGGTGCAACATTTAACTTAATGTGGCGGGATCTCTCCTTGCATCCCAGGAACTGTGGTATGGAGGGATAGGCACACCAGTTGTGTTCAGCTTGACTTCTTCCACATGATTTTAAGATTGAGAACTTTACTCTTTTTATAAGCAGCAGGTTGATATTTGAGAGTCGGTGCTTTTTAGAGAGTGCTAATAGGTTACTATGCTATGGTTACTATACTAATGCTGGTCTTTGTGAGGGGAGCCAAAAAAAGTGGAGCCTGCAACTGAAGTTGAATCCAGATGCATAATGTGCAGCTCTGATTTTAGGTTCGTCTGCACTAACGTGGGCTCTGGACTGGCAGGGGAGAATGCAGGGAAGGCAGAGAGCGCGCCAGGACCCGCAGCGTGTGCCGGGCTGCGTTACAGCTCTGTGGCTCCCGGGCAGGGCCTTGCACGGAGCTGGGGAACCTTCGTTTGAGAACGGTGCAGCCCAGCAGGCTGTTACGCTTCATGGAATGTGAAGTAAGGGAATGAGCTGATGGAAAGCATTGCCTCATTTCCATGGGATTTCCAGATCTGCTGCGTTCATCCCCATCTCGCATTTCAGATGGGAGTTTTTTCTGGAGGGTGGGTGATGATCTTGGTTACATTTGTGCAGATGCTAGCCCTGTGGGCTTGATCCATGCTGGGTGTTGCCCCACAGCACAGTGATGCAAAAGCAGCAGTAGAAGGAGAATTGCAAATGGTTAAAGTGGGTGTGATGGCATCCACTCTTAAAATTCCTGTTGAGGTGTTCTGACTAGAAAGGTGGGAGTGTTTTAGTGGTCTTTTTTTATCTCTGGATTCCAACACACTTTAAAACCAAAAAAGCTGTATCAGAACAAATAGGCTTTTGCCCTCTCTAAGAAAAGTCTTACTCAAGCTGTCTGTACCAAGCAGCATCAACAAATTGCCTGATTACATCCAGCAGCCTGATATGAGCCTGTTCTGTAAGTGGGGTGACTTTGTACTCCTAAGGAATTACTCCTCTTGCCACGGCGGTGGGTCGGATCGACAGTGAAGTTGTGCTGTCTGCGGGCTGGCGTCTCGGCTAGCGAG